TCTTTCTTCTCCGACGGTTTCTTGGAAATTTCGGGAGTTTCAGGAGTTTCACGGCGGGCTCTTTTCATTGCATCCTCCATGAGCTTCTCCTCAGGTTCTTTCTTTTCTTCCCCCATGGCTGCCTCCTCAATCACCACCTTGTCTTTCCCTTTAATTGTTACTATCAATCTTTCTTGCTGTTTTTTTTTACTTTTTCCTTCTCTGGCACTCTTCCATCTTTCTTCTTTCCTCATTCAATGTTTCTTCCAATTGCCTGATGTTTTCCAACATGACCTCTTCATACAATTTTCGTTCTTTCTTCTCTTCGCTTCTTTCTCCCTCTTCTTCTTTTGTCCCCCCTTTTGGCTATCTCCATCAGTTGATCAATCACCACTTTATCCAGAGCCTGTTGGCTTTGAATAATGATCTATTGTACATGGGTGTTGGCTTCCATCATCTGAACAGCCGCCTCAGCCTTCTCTAGTTCGCTTTCTATTGCGCGCAGATCGAACTGGCTGCGTACTTGTTGCTCAGTGTTGGCTCCAACATCATGTAGGTCGGCGATCAACTGCTGTAGACAGCCCAACATCTCTTGCCGTCTATTTTCAATTTCACTGGTTCTCAATTCAACACTTTCTTCATCAGCAAAGAAAGTGAAGAAGACAGGGAAGAAGAAGAGAGGGATGAAACGAGTCGAGACAAAAAGGCGCAAAGAATTCCAGAAGAAAGACATTTTCAAAATGTGTGCCTGCCACACAGCCTACTACAAAAAAATAAAATAAACAACAACTAATGAAGGAAGAAATTTCAATTTACTTCTACCTCTAACTTATGTTGTCTGTCCTATGTATGATGATGTCCTAATGAGTGTACAGCTACCGCAGCCACGACCGTGTGATCAAGACACAACAGCACAGGTGAGTATGCCCGGCAACCACAAAACTGCCAAGACAAGTGAGTAAGCCAGCCAACACAACAACAACAATCAATTGTCAGCATTCTTTCCTCTTCGGTTGCACCCTCTGCAGAGACCAATGCGCCCAGACACAAGGGCCAACGCGTGGCACTATAGCAAATCGCGAAGCTGTACCGCCTGTCAGCACACAAGTGCAAGTATCAACTCCTCACCCACGACAACGCACAAAATCTGCCACGTGTCACCCTTGGAATGCTAACGCAACACATGTGCCACGTCAACGTCAAGGGCCAGCAAGGCCTTCAGGTGGGATGCCACGTCAGCAATGCACGAGTTGTTAACTCATCCACCACTGGTATGCCACGTCAGATCAAAGTACCGTTGGAGTGTGGACCGCCACGTCAGCAGGTAAGTCGCGACACAGGCACCACGTCAAACAATACCTTGCCTGCGCCATGCCTCGTAGGCAGCATGCCACGTCAGCACTCCTGGTATCCCACTCTCTTTCTCTCTCTCTTCCAATGTCACGTCAGCCTCAAGCCAACGATGCTCTCACCGATGTCTGATCGCCAGGTCAGCAACAAAGCGCTAAGTAAGCAATGTTGTTGGCTTCAAAATGTCCACGTTATCATCTTCAAGGGAGTGTGCACGCGCGTGGAAGTCAATGTCTAGTCTTGCGATAATAATCGCGCGCGTTAATAAACACGTTTCTGACATTTCTGTCCTATCACGAGCGGCACCTCCCACTTACCTGGGCGCCACCTAGCGCCTGACAGCAGCTCGCGACGAAGGTAAGCTCCGATACCAAATTGTAATGAACCCAGTCTGGAAGATACTCATCAAATGTGGAAGTACAAGAAATCTAAGTTATGAATAATGTATCCAAATAATCGTGAATGTGATCTGTGATACAATATTTGGTAACAAATAGACGAAGAGAGGAGAGGGGGGCATAGATAGATTAGAGGGTGGAAGACGTAACCATCAATGACCACAGAAATAGCAGCGCAACAATACCCTCTCCTTCTTCGGTCTTCCCTCTCTCCTCCACATCAGTATCAGTGTCCAATAACGAGTCTGGCAGGTCATATCACATCAAAAGTGCCACATGGCACAATTCTCCTGTGAAGACGTTCAACAGCGGCCAGTACCGACATCAACCATAGGTAAGTATCTCGTTCTCTCTCAATTATCCACAGATCCGGATCTCCCTCCTTGTCGCGTCCAACTCAGGAATGTAGATAGTGTGGGAATGCCACGTCAGCAACGAAGACAGAGTGGCCTGTGCCACATCAACAATGTCGAAGACAGCATGGCCTTGCGCCACGTCAGCATAGGCTGACGCCTAAGCAGGAAGGCGCCAGCGTGCAGCAGCAGTCTCGCGTTGTCATCCACCGTGTCAGCATCAAGCCAGCGTCAAGCCAGCGTCCAGCCAGCTTCCAGCTAGCGTCAAGCCAGCGTCAAGGTAGCATAGCAAGACTGAATGTTAACTCCCTGGAGGCAGGGTCTTATGTAGCGTTGGACCGGATTGACCTGCCTCAGGTCTCCCACCCATGATGGCTCAGATTGAATCGCAGCCGAGGGCCTGGATTGCGTACAATTGCAGACTTCCACTTGGTCCGAATACTGCCTTGGTACCTGCATACAAACAAGTGTGTCTGACCGGCGGCCTGGGCTGGGTGCATACAAACTCGACGCTTGGGTCTCGGGCGCTCAGGCCCTGGAGCCACTTCAGAGGGGTCCTTTACCCCTTCGTGCCTCACGGCCTGAGACTGGGGTCGCGGCCTGGCAAGGCCCTAGACATTCGATGAGGCATATGGAGCCGGTTACTGTTTTTGGAGAGTTTCACAAATTTTGAAATTGCGCAGCAACCTAGGCTACCAGTCGGGCCGCCCGGGTGACCTTGCTTTCCCGGGCAGCCCAGCCGTGCAAGGGCCAAAGTGGGTCCCAGCAAAAATAAAAATACAAGAACAAATCGAAACAATCTGCAAAAAAAACTAAGCTATGCAAAAGAGTAAACTGAACAACTTTTGCCTCAGGGTCACATCGAAATTCTCAACCAAATTAAATTATTAAAAAAAAATTAAAAACATGTTTTTTTATTTTTAACTTTATTTTTTTTGGTCCGGCCGGGCAAGTGCACCCGAGCGACTCTGGTAGCCTAGGCAGCAACTGAAAAATTTCACGTTCATTCGTTATTTTATAAATTCTGAATCATGCATTTGCAAACAGCATCATACACATGAGACCTGATAGTCGCGACCTCGAACCAATAACAAAATTGCATCAGGAGTTCCACCAAATAAGAGCACAGCAAAAGCTCATAATTGACAATGCTGGAATAGTCTCATCATCATCAACRAAGAACCAATGTCGATATCCGATCTGGCGCTCGGCGCCCGGACAACAGATGGCAGATCCTATCTAGCCTAATCTACAATGTCGCTGATGTTGTCAAGAGCTCCCCGAAGTACAAGCAGATCTCGGCCAATGCCGTTCGCCTCAAGCACCAGGTATGTCCCTCGTATCACTCATAACCTCGATCCCCAACTCACAGTTGCCACATGCACCCAAGGACCACCATGCTTCCCATCGAGCATACAGCAGCGCAGCTCGGCTATGGCTGCCTGCTCCTTCCAGCTCGCCCGTGAGCTCGTGAGCGCTGGCCAGCGCTAGCGCAGCAGCGCTTGCGCAGCATGCAGCCAGTGCCCGAATGTCGAATGCGTGGGCAGGCACTTTCCTAAATGGAATTGACCTGCCTGCTTGTGTGCAGCCTGGCTGCGCTGGGCCCCTGCCTAGAGGCTTCCGGTAGGCCGAAAGAGGCTGCGCCCCAGTCCAAACAAAACAGGTCCTGGGCCTGTGGTGGTTGGCTGTGTCCAACTGCCCGCAGTCTGTGTTCGGTCCACGTTGCGAATCTGGCCCAAGCCTCCCTCAGCTACATTCGTAAGGGCCAGCCTGGGCCTGGGCGCTCTTAACCAACTGGCGCTGTGCAACTGCCTGAATTTCCCCAGTTGCGTGGTGACCCAAAAATGGCCTGTAGGCCTCGGTCGAGCCTGCCTTCACTTAGGGCGGCCGACTGTACTGAAAATAAGGCCCTGTAGGGCATATCGAGGCCTTATGCCTCGCATTCCCTCCTCCATACTTCGCTAGTCCTCTGAGAAGTTCATTCAATCTGGCACTTTCCTTTCTGTAGTAACTTCTCGTAGTGGGCAACCACTTGTGGGGCGGTCTGCATCAGTTCCTCCCGTGTAAACCATCTATCCTCCTTGGGATCAGTGTGATGTCTGAACCGAATGCGATACTGCAGCTTCGGTTTCGGAGGACAACCCCTGCCTATAGGTCTTGGAACTGGCATTTCTCTGTGATCCACTATGTCGTTGATGTCGACATCTCCATCCATGGTTGGGGGCAGCATTGAGCGACGAGAACGGAACTGGTCAGTTTCCCTGAAAGGTGCAAGCTTGGAGACGTGGAAGACTGGGTAAGTGCGAAGGTGACCAGGGATCTGAACTACATATGAAGGCCCATCCGGATCATCCCCAACAATATCTAGAACCTCCCAGGGTCCAAAGTACTGTGGCATGAGCTTGTGGGAAATCCCTGCTCCTGACCCAGTTCTGAGGACTTAACCCAGACTCTATCCCCTACCTGGAATGTAGATGGGCGGCGGTGCTTATTCTCAGACTCTATCATCACCGCCTGTGCCGTGTGCATTTGTTCTACCGCCTGCTGCATCAGTTGTTCATATCGATAGGCAGACTCTAAGGTACCAGGTGCAGCAGTCGGCTGGTTCTCAGGTAATAGGAAGTCCAGTGGTAGTCTAGGCTTGAAAGTCAGTGGCAGACTGTTAGGGCTCACCCTAGTGGCGCTGCGCACATCGTTGTTGTACATGCTGGCGATGAGAGCAAGTTTCTCATCCCAGTCCATCTGATTGGGCTTGATGTAGTGCCGCAACAGGTGCTTTACAGCGCGGTTCAGTTGGCTCTGCTTGGCCATTTGCCTCTGGGTGGTTCCCGGAGGTCATCTGCAACTGTGTACCCTGTTCTGCAGCTGCAGCCTTCCCCAACTCAGTTGTGATTTGACATCCCTGTCGCTAACAATAGACGTAGGAAGCCCAAAGTCCCTGACCCAGTTCTCCTTGAAGAGTCTAATCACATACTCCGTTTTCGCTGTTTCAGGCATTGCCACTAATCTAGCATATTTACTAAACCTATCCACAATGACAAATATGTGTCTCATTCCACTCTTGTCGGTGACCAATGTGTCCATGAAATCCATGGGCAGGCTCTCACCGGGCCTTTCCGGAATCGGAAGGGGCTTAAGAAGCCCGAAAGGGGCCTGTGTACGTGGCTTCTCCCTCTCACATACTTGACAAGTCTCCACATACAACTTGGCATCTCTCATCATCGTGGGCCACCAGAACTGCTGCAGCAAATTGGCCGCAGTCTTCTTACACCCAAAATGTCCTGTGGCATCATGACACTCACCTAAAAATAAACTACGCAAAGACTCACGGTTAGGCACACACAGACGTTTATTCCCAGCCTTCTCAAGGAATAGTAGGTCGTTGACCAACTCAAACTCAGCAGGAGTCGTTTTGACCTTCGTCTTGAGTCTGCGTATGATCTCAGCCATAAATGGGTCCTCGCGATAGGCTTCCACCAAAGAGCGCGTAAAATCGTCCGCAATCCCGAATTCGGTGATCAACGCACCGGAGAAATCTGGCCTACGTGACGGCGCATCAGTAGCTTTGTTGTACTCACCTTTGAGGTACTGGGGCTCGAAGTTATACTGCTCAATGACTTCGATCCAGCGTTTCAGCGCATCAGAGAGCACAGGATGGGTTCTCATCCACTTCAAGGTCTGATGATCATTCCTGATGTAGAAAAACCGCCCAAGGAGGTAATGCCTCCAATGGGTTAGCGCTTTATAGATCGCATAGAGCTCCTTCTATAGGTAGACTTAGCCAACTTCTGAGAGGGCATCTTTTTGGACATGTACTCAACAGGCCTCAACTTTGGCCCCTCCTACTGCGTGAGCACGACGCCTATGCCATGTTGGCTAGCATCCGTGGTAACTATAAACGGCTTGTCAGGATCAGGAAGTTTCAAGACCTCATAGTGTGTCAGAGCATGCTTCAAATGTCTGAAAGCAGTCTCACACCTGTCTGTCCACTCCCATGGGTTGTCAAGGCGGGTCAAGTCCGTGAAAGGGGCGGCCACTATACTATAGTTCTTGACGACGTTGCAGTAGTAGTCGGTCATCCCCAAGGACCTCATCTCAGTCACAGACTGAGGCCGCGGCCAGTCACGAATGCTGGCCACCTTCGCCTCATCTGGCTTCAATCCCTCTGCGGAAATCTCATGACCCAAGTACAAGATACGGGTGCGGCCAAACTCGCACTTCTCGCCGTCAATCTTGAACTTGTGCTGTCGAAGGAGACTAAGGACTTTGTCTTAATGACCAATGTGCTCCTCGACAGTCCTACTGAAGATAAGTATGTCATTGAGGTACACGATGACAAACTTGTCCAGGCAGTCGTGAAAGATCCGGTTCATTGCATGCTGAAAGCTACCAGGAGCATTGCAAAGGCCGAAAGGCATCACCACAAACTCGTACAAACCATACCTGGTCTGAAAAGCGGTTTTGTGTTGATCATCAGGACGTATTGCAATCTAATGGTACCTGGACTTCAGATCTATCTTACTGAAGTACCGACACCGTTGCACTCGGTCTAGGGGCTCTCGGTTCTTGACAGAGATGGCATTGTTGCACATCCTCAAAGTTCCCCCCTTCTTCGGTACAAATAAGACAGGAGATCCATAAGGGGAGACACTCCGCCGGATCCAATTCCTTAAGCTATCGGCGAAGCTAATCAAGCTCGCTTGGAGACATCCGATAGATCCTACCCTTCAAAATACTAGACCCTGGGATAATCTCTATCCCATGGACGACCTCCCTCTCAACAACCCCTTTCGGCTCTTCAAATAGATCAGGGTATTTAGCGACAACTCCCTCATCTCTTGCGGCATTTTCACCGGCTCGCCTGCTGCAGAGACATAAACTAGATACATACCCTCCTCCGGATTTTGCTTATAATAATTATAGAACACGGCCTCACACATGCATCCGTAGGACTCGATCAGACTACTAGCCTTGAACGTACTTAATATGGCGGTTCCGTAATATGGCGGTTCCCCCACCTGGCAAAGTGTGCTTGACCACTTTTCGGTCCCAGTCAAATTGGGGTTGTGCAACTGAAAGATAGTACATACCCAACAGAATGTCCATTGGGAGATCATCGCTGACTAGGAACGAGACGCGATGTCTTAGTTCCCCTCCCGCGTACGGGAAAAGACACTCAATGTCTTTGAGGTAGTCATTGACTACCATGCGCTGTTTGTTGGCACAGGTCGACTCCATAGATCGACTCAGACGCTGCACTTGCCCCTATAAGCGCAGCCTTTCAAAGCACGCACAACTAATGAAGTTCCGTGTCGAGCAATGGTCATAATAGGCCCCGGCCTTGCGGCCGCCGATGACCACCTCGTCGATGAACATCTCACTCTTAGGGGCTTTAGCCAATGCCGTCCACGAAGCTAGTGGGTCTGATTTAGACCACTCCTCCTCTAGCTCCTCTGAGGACTCTAACACATTCATCGAACAGAGGCTCGATTGGTCTGAATGTGTTTGCGGAACGACAACGGAGCCAGTAGCTTGGGCCATCTCTCGAGATGGTGAGGGTTTTTCCACCACCCCGACCCTAGCAGGAACAACTGGCCTAACGTGTTTCCCGGAGCAATGCCAAAACTGCAGGCTACATCGCTACCTATAGGAGCGGAGGCTCCCAACGCCTGCCCCATCGTAGGCGGGATCTTTTCGGTTACCTTTGTGTTACGACACTTGAACTGGTTATGGCCATATTGGCCACAACGGATACAAGCCTGTCGGGTATATCGGTCTCTCCACACGTCCTCACTAAGACCCACTTTCTCCCATGGAGGCGTTAGGGTCAACTTGACTCCTAGATCGGGAGCCTCCACGGCGTCTACGGTCGCCTTACCTTTTGTATTGAAGCAGCGACTACTCCACCCCCTGTCTGCCTTTGAACCCACTCCCGCCTCGAAGTCGTCTTTTAACTCGATGGTAGAACCATCGTTATCGACGAACATGATGCGGCCCTTCGCCTTCCAGTTGGGAGGCAGCGACTTCTTCCTTCTGTTCATCGTGGGTGTATGTCCATGCCCTATCTTTGCTTCTAGGTCTAGGGCCTTCTTGCTGAACGAGGGGAAATTGTGCATATTGATGTTGGCCTCACCTGCCAACTGATTCCTAAGAGGCAAAGGAAAACATCTCAAGTATGAGGTGAGTAAAACCTGGGGGTCGTAGCGCACTCCAGGAACACAGATCAGACGCTCTACTGCGTCCGTGGCCTCCCTTACTGACTTGAACTGCCTGTTGTTCAGAGTCAGGATCGCATCAGTGGCCTTTTGAGCCTCCTGAGGATCATGCCACCTATCTTCCACCAGCTTGAGGAAGTCATTCAGTTTCTGGTTGACTGCCCAAGCGTGGAAGTCATGATCGTATCCCTGTAACTGCACTAAACCACTCAACCATCTTGCTGCACTCCCCTCTAAATAGGAGGCAGCCACAAGCATTTCCTCGAGCGGCAAGGTCAATTTACACTTGACATAAACTGGCACTGACCTCAACCATGTGTCGAGGTCTTCGACCCTCTTGTCCCCTAAAAAAGGTTTGGGAGAGGCGATGGCAGTCTTTGGAACCCACTAGGTTTGTCCCGGAACCTATCCCACCCCAGGCTGTGGACCTTGGGGTCTAGGCTGCTGCACTAGCTGCTGCTGGGGTTGTGTAACCTGCGACTGTGCAGGCTGCGAGACAGCAGGCTGCCAGATTACGGCAACCTGCGACGGAGGTAAGGAATACACCGACTGTACAGGAACCTGCACACCAGGACCTGCTGAGAACCTCCTGTTTGCGACATACCTAGGGAAGCGGCTTGGACCGATGCTAGAGAGACATATGGGGATACCCCAGTCACCGGTGGGACAAAAGGAGGAGGATGTACAACGAGCCAGGCACCGGGCCCGGACGGCGATGGGGCTGCCTGCGCTCGCCCAACCAATACAGCCAGACTCTGCTGGATATCCTGTAAGAGACTCGTCTGGTGGTCTTGCATTTCTACTACATCTAGCAGGACGGCACGCAGGGTCCTCACATCATCATCCATGCATGTCAAATCCATCCCCTCTAACTCACTAACGTCCTCTTGTCTCCGCTCTAACCCGACTCTTCTACGGGTCATTCTTTCCTTCTCTGCCTTTATCTCTCCTAGAGCCTTCTTTAGTTGTGCCTCTTGCAGTGCTTGCTGTACGGCGACCTGTTCAGGGGTCAACATTATTGGCTGGCTTGCCATAACGCCAATGGACTGGCTCGAGGTCTGCGCAATCATTGACCCGACGGTCCCTGAACTGCTGGCCTGGGAACTCTGCTGCACAGCAGTTGCCATGGCAGCTGAAGCAGCGGCTTCGCTTGCAAACGCCCTGCTGGCCTCTGCTGCCCTAGCTCTCCACTGCTGCTGCTGCCTCTCCCTAAGCTGGCGGAACAGTAACCTGTCACCCTCTGGTCCAAAGGCCAAGTGGGCTATCGGGCGTCTAGTCGATCGCAAGATCCTATCGTCCTCGCTAGTGGTATCCCATTCGCTCATAAGCTACAAAACTATACACAATCTGCACTAGATCACTCAAATGCCTACCGCATCATAATGCACATACCGATTTAGAATAATTAATTAATTAATTGGTGGCTAAAGCAGAGTATATACACTGTCTCTTATACACATCTAGATGTGTATAAGAGACAGCGCTAGTGGTATCCCATTCGCTCATAAGCTACAAAACTATACACAATCTGCACTAGATCACTCAAATGCCTACCGCATCATAATGCACATACCGATTTAGAATAATTAATTAATTAATTGGTGGCTAAAGCAGAGTATATACATTTGGGTCCAACAGGTAAGTTTAGATTCCTACAAACGAAACTATTTTGACTATGACTAGTTCACAAACAGAAAGCACAATGAACAGGAAACAATTCTAACTATGTTGTCTATCAGATGTTAATGGTTGTACATCTAACTAATCAAAATAAAAACAGAATCATTTGATTGGCTGTTTGCAGGTGGAATCTTTCCCAAACTTCTAAAGATGTGCACACGGCCCACCCCTATGCCCTGAGTCCTGCTGAGCTGGCCAGCCTTGCACTATATTTATCATCGCGTGCAGCGAGCCTTACACCGACTGATTGGTCCTCAGGAATTATTTAACGTCGCAGACAGGACAATGATCACAGCCAATGGAAGGTCCCTGCCGGTACTTATTTATAGACGTCCGGTACTCGTCTTTCCCATAGGGCTGGCCTGGCCTTCAGAACCCCTCTATAGCGCAGTGAGCAGACAAAGGACAAAGCAGCAAAGCATACGTGCTCTACTCCCGGTGGGTTGGCATGGTGACCGTGACCCAATGCTTCGTCCAGGGCCCTTCAGATAGCACCGCCCTCTCCTTCCAGATGCTCCACGTGAACACTGACGACTCTCAAGGTTGAGCGCACTCGACTCCTCACATGAGAGGACTCTCAACACATAACACACATCCTCACAGTAAGAAGTGTCGAAGAGAGTAGTTAAGGTTAGGTGCAACGCACCTCAAAATAGCTGCCCCCAACCACAAATATTTTCACCAGATGACCCGATGCCGATTGTGATGACCAATCGCTGGTTCGGCACAACCAGCATTTTACCGTCGTTCCACCTCAGCATCAATTGCACATCATAGTTCTCATCACACTGCGAACACCCAATATTCACCACATAGTAGCCTTCTTGGCAATACCCCTTTTCTCCAAGGTCGCCTACTTGCCTTCGCCCTCCTCACTACACACCTCTCACGGTCGCTCGCCCAACAGGCCGCGTGCATGTACCGCATAGGTAGAAGACGAGCGCCAAATTAGCGCACCGTACCACAACTCCGATACCAAATTGCAAGAAAAATGAGCAATAGCGAACTTCAGAAATCAAACAGCATCATACACATGAGACCACATAGTCGTGACCTCAAACCAATAGCAGAATTGCATCACGAGTTCCACCAAATAAGAGCACAACAAAAGCTCATAATTGACAATGCTGGATTAGTCTCATCATCATCAACAAAGAACGAATGTCGATATCCTATCTGGCGCTCGACACCCAGACTACAGATGGCAGATCAGATCCTATCTAGCCTAGTCTACAATGCCGCTGATGATGTCAACAGCTCACCGAAGTACGAGCAGATCTCGGCCAATGTCGTTCGCCTCAAGCACCAGGTATGTCTCTCGTGTCTCGATCCCCAACTCGCAGTTGCCAGATGCACCCAAGGACCACCATGCGCCCCATCCAGCATACAGCAACGCAGCTCGGCTATGGCTGCCTGCTCCTTCCAGCTTGACCGTGAGCTCGTGAGCGCTGGCCAGCGTTAGCGCAGCAGTGCTTGCATAGCATGCAGCCAGTGCCCAAATGCCGAATGCGTGGGCAGGCACTTTCCTAAATGGAATTGACCTGCCTGCTTGTGTGTAGCCTGGCTGCGCTGGGCCCTTGCCCAGAAGCTTCCGGTAGGCCGAAAGAGGCTGCGCCCCAGTCCAAACAAAACAGGCCCTGGGCCTGTGGTGGTTGCCCGTGTCCAACTGCCCGCGGCCTGTGTTCGGTCCATGTTGCGAATCTGGACCAGGGACTCCCTTAGCTACATTCGTAAGAGGCAGCCTGGGCCTAGGTGCTCGCAACCAACTGGCGCTGCGCAACTGCCTAAATTTCCCCAGTTGCGTGGTGACCCAAAGGCCTCGGTCGAGCCTGCCTTCACTTAGGGCAGCCGACTGTATTGCAAATAAGGCCCTAGAGGGCATATCGAGGCCTTATGCCTCACACATTAATTAGTAGCTGGAAATTTCGATTTCCTTTATGTTTTGGAATTTCGAATATTCCGTTACTTTTTTTTTTTGGTGGGGAGAATCACCTGCTGGAAATCGAGTCCAGCGTCCCTTTACAATAAGAACAATGCGATGTGAGTGATGGGATTTCAAGTTGACTGTAGCACCTGCCAGCATTGATTGCTCTGGTGTCCAGAGGATTAATTGTGCAGGTGTTTGTGGGGAGGAGACCTCTTCACCCTTTGTATCGGGCGCCAGACATCTACCAGAGAAAGCTAGTCCCTCCCTCCTTTCTTGGCTTGCTGCTCAGATAACAAGGTGACAATAATGAGTAAGAATTGGGAACTCCCTTGCCTTTTGTCCTCCGTCTCTCCCATACCCCCTCAGCCCGCGACCGATAACAGCATTAGGCAAGCTCTCTGTCATTTACTATCCCCTATCCCCTAATCATCTCTCGCCTGCAACTACTTCTTCCTTTCTTTCTTCACTCTCCCTTTTCACTCTCCCCCATACCAAGAGACTCCTACCAGGCTGTTTGCAGGGAGGGGGACGAAATCCGGGAAGTCTCTGCTTGGCCGCATTGGGATTGAGTCATCCAGCGTGGTCCAGTTGTTGAAAAGAAGCTTGTAGTCTCTGTTGACTGTCTTGCGGTCCCCATTTCCTTTTTGCCCCCCATTTCCCCGGTCCATTCCACTCTCCCGAGCTTCCCTCCAGTTTCCCCCCCGAGCCAGCTCTTGCAGAAGTCCTGTATCCTTCGTTGTATTTCCTTTATGGTATGGATGTGCTTGATCTGTGCTTAGTTTCCTCCCATCTCGCTCTGATGTTTGTGTGTATCTGCTGTTGAATGCTTTCTGTAAATTCTGGCCCCTCCAGCCTCACTTTTTCCATTTCATACGTGCAGCGGCGTCTCCAAAGTGCCCACATTACTGCCCGCCGTCCCAGTTGAAACATGTTTAAGGTAAAGTCGTCCTATTGTTCAGGTGACCATCTTTCGAACAGCAGGGCTTTCCAGTCCCAGGGCCAGGGGGCTGCAGTTTCCAACTGATCCCAAACTCTGTCCCACCACCGCCAGAGCCAGACCGCCCCTGGGCATTGTAGAAAGATATGTTCAATGGTTTCCAATGTCTTTCTGGATGGGAATGCGTTGGAGCAGAGTTTACACCAGGGGAGTGCCAAACCTCTCTGTTCCAAAGTAGTTCTGTCTATCAACCAGTTGTTGGTTGGCAGGCATCGGTGTTCGATCTGCCATTGTAGGGAGGCTAGACTTGTCGGTTTCTTTTTTGTTAACTGAAACCATTTCACATTGTTCAGTGAAGCTCTGCTGATGTTTAAGTGTTTCATCCATCTAGCTTCCACCTGGTCCTTTAGATTAATTTTAGGGCGAAGTAATCTGTATGTTGCTTTAACTGTTAGGTTGTGCAGAGTTTTGGTGTTAGGTCTGCCCCTACTGCATGTGTTTGTCCATTCCCATTCCAGCGGGTCTATGGGAAGATAGGGAATCGGCATGTCTGGGAAGAATGCCACCCATCTGGTCTTTCTCTCCAACACCCTGATTCTAGAGAGGTCGTCCTTCTCGAGGTACTGTATCCGTTCTGGGTTAGCTTTTTGAAGGATATTGCCATTGCAGATCTTGAATGTATCCACTACCACTGGTCCTTTCTTGTCACAGGCGACCACATTGCCGACCTCCCCCTGACAACCCCGAATTGCTACCCACTCAGACTCTTGTAACACGGCTCCTTTTCTCAGGATCTTCCACCAGCTTAGGAGGATGCATTCTATCAGGTTTTCCATCGCCTGTTCTGGTCTGTGGCAGTATCTCAGCTTCCTTCTGAGACACTCTTCCGTGATCCACTCCCTTCTATCCGTGTCCCAGATGTCATTGATTCTGAGAATTCCTTTCTTAATCCGTCCTTTCCAAGGGGCGTCCATGCAATGTAGCACCCGACCATTGGAGTCGGTTATTCGCCTATTCCCAAACAACGGTTGACGGACCACTTCCTCCCATCTTTCCGGTGCTCTCTTGTCAGGCAAGGGGAGGCTCCTCCATACTCGCAAGAGGGTTGGCCAGAAGGGGTCCTTATGCAGTCCTCTTCTTGCCTCTTCCCTTGACGAGATGGCGGAGGGGGATTCTCGCTGAGACGGTCGCCGCGAGATTGTCCAATCTCTGTTTTCAATCCATGTGATTGGGTTGATATGGGCCGGGGTCTCTGGAGCTAGCCTTGAAATCTGTTCCAAAGCCATATCTCTCCAAGGGATTTGTGGGCTAAAGAGTAGGCGCTTGAGCCATTGCATGGCCAGTCCCTTGACTTGTGTCGTAGGATCAATTAGACCCAACCCTCCTTTTGCTTTGGGTTGTGTAATCGATTGTCAGGCCACTCTATTGATCACCTTCTGTTTCTCATGATCTCCCCGCCATAAAAAGGCCGCTATCTGTCGCTGGAGGGGACGCAAAATGTCTTTGTCTAGTCCCCAAATGGCTGACCTATACCAGAGAGTGGCCAGCACTACGTTGTTGATCACCAAGGATCTCCCTACTAGCGAAGTGTGTTTGTTTTTCCATTGTGCCAATTTTTCCAGGGGGGGCTAGCAATCCATTCATTATTTATTGTTGGTCTTCCTTCTGCAGTCAAGGAGACTCCCAGTACCCTAATCGGGGCTTCCAAGGGTAGCCACCTCATCGTTGGTTGTTCTGGGGGGCGTACACCTTGATGATGAATCCACCAGCCAAGGGTTTTGTTGCCCCAGTTGAATCTCATGTCAGACAGAGTGCAGAAACGATCCATCATTTGCTGAATTTCTTCCATCGATGTTTGGGTGGCATCAACCATAAGGGTCAGGTCATCAGCAAACATGGAGTACACCGGGATAGCTTCTTTCGGGATTGAGGAGAGCTGTATTTTTTGTATGTCCTTGTGTGTTCTTAAGTTTGCTGTTAGCGCTTCCATTATTATAACAAACAGGAAAGGAGCCAGTGGGTCTCCCTGTCTCACCGATCTCTGCAAAGTGATTGGTGGAGCCAGGTTACCATTGACCATGACCCTGGTTGTTGCGTTTCGATGCAGGATTTGCACCCATCTTCTAAAGGCGGGTCCGAAATTGAATTTTTCCAGGCATTTATCTAGGAACATCCAGTCCACGTGATCGTAGGCTTTCTCAAAATCAATGAAGATGATTGTCGCGTTTTGTTTGGATTGTCTTGTTAGTTTGATCACCTCGTTGACTAAAAGGATTTTGTCCTGGATGTTCCTGCTCTTGATGAAGCCTGTCTGGTTTGGGTGTATAATATCTTCCAGCACTTTGGTCAGCCTGTTTGCTAGTGCTTTGGCTACCATCTTGTAGACCACAGTGAGGAGTGTGATTGGCCTGTAGACCTTTTATTTATCTTTGCGCCTTTCTTGTATAGGAGGGTTAAGACTCCCTGCCTTACAAATTCTCCCGTGCTCCCGGTCTCCCACATTGTTTTGTAGAAATCCATTAGGTCCTGTGAGAGGTCCGCCCACATTGCCTCCCAAAACTCTTTTGGTAGACCGTCTATGCCCGGGGTTTTCTCCTCCTCCATAAGCATCAGTGCTGTCGACACTTCTTCTTTTGTAAGTGGTTGTTCTAACAATTCTTGTTGTTGGTCTGTCAGCGTTTGGGTAAGGGGGAGCAGGAACTCATCGATGTCCTTCATTCTCTGTTCCTCATGTTGGGTCCCAAACTCTGATTTGAAAAGATCCTAAAAGAAATCCCTTGCTATTTTGGTGCAGGCTGCTGTGGATGTCAACAACGAGCCCTGATGCACCTTCGGGTCCTCCAAGGCTTCTATCGTAGATCGTCCAAGCTTTGCCTTAGCCATTGCGAAAAATCTGGTGTCCATAGTTGCTTCCAGGTTGTGTTTGTGAAGTTTCCCGCGGATCTTGACACCTTGCCATCTATGTTCCATTTGCTCCAGGATGCGGGTTTCCAAAGTCTTGATCTCGTCGGCCAGTTCTGATAGTCTCGTGGCGTCAGTCATGTCGTCTTCCTGCTGTTGGAGTTGTTTTAATTTGTGTTGGAGATCTATTTCCTCTGCATTTCGTTTTATAGCGAACAATCTTGAGTATTCATTGCACTTGCGGCCCAGAAATGCCAGGCCGTTGTTGAACCATACAATGTCGTCCTGAATCAAGGCTTTTTGCTGGCGCCAAAAGGCCCAGACTTCTTTTAGATAGTTTTTAAAGTGGTCCAGGGCTAATAGTGATGTGTCGAGTTTATAAAAGCCTTTTCCTTGGTCGGGCTTCTTCCGGAATGAAAAGAGGGCCAGACACATTGCGTGATCCAGCCCTGGGTGAGGACTGCGGGGAAATATTTCTGCTATTTGTAGCGCCCCTTGTAGCTCCTTTGAGATTAGAATTAAGTCGATGCGTGATTTGGATGTGTTTTGTGACTGATTTTTCCGAAAGCAGGTATAGTCCCGCCTAGTGGGGAAGGCCTGCCTGAAGGAATCCACGAGGTGAAGGTTCTGGGTTAAGTCTGCTATGACCCTTTCGTCATTTTCTACGTAGAAGGGGCACGGGGAAGGGATCTTCCATCTATCCAACCAACGATCCGGGGCGGCGTTGAAATTTCTGCCAATATTACCGGAATACCCACCGGCAATTTTGTCTTGAGGTTTTCGTAAAAGATCTGCCGCTCTCTAGGGTCGTTGGGGCCATAAACGTTGAGCACGCTCACCACCTCTGTTTCCAGCATCGCAAGAATATACACCCATCTCCCTTCTTCCTTGTCCACTTCCCAATTGATGGGATCCACTCTGGAGCCCGGGGGTAGCCAGATGGCAGTTCCTCCGCTGCCCGGTTTTGGGGCATGGGCCCGGAAAGCTTGATGTGGCCAGATCTCTTTGTGGACGTGATTGTGCTCAGGGAAGTCCGCCAGATGCGTTTCCTGTAGGCATATGATATCAGGCCACTCCCTTCCCTCTGCCCTTTTCAAGAGTTCCATGATCGCACTACGTTTGGTGGGTTTTGCTGATACCAGTCCATTCACGTTCAGTGAGCAGAGGTCCAAGTCAGTGGTTCGTTTAGTGAGTTTCCAGTATTTATCTTTGTTATATAATGTGTCTATAACATTCATTCAGTCCTTCTGGTATCTGCAGTGTTGTTATCATCATTTTTCTACAGCGGCAGCCACCGTTCTGTGTCCAGCGGGCCACCTGTCTGCAGGGTGTGATTTTTTAGCAGTTTGGATAGGAGGGATCTGATGTTCTCTTTTGACCAGGGGTCACTGGCCTTGATCTTCAGTAGCTGTAGATCGTTCAGCATCTCGAGAGTGAGCCAGCGGAGTCCCTCCACCTTCGCCTGTTCATATTTCAAATAGACATCCTGAGCAGACAGCCTATGCTCTCCGTACGAGATGACCAGGGATGCAACAACACCTTTCGGCAAGCGGTCTTTAGTCAATTGAGCGATGTCTGATTTTAGGAGTGTCAGGCCACCCCCCCACGCTGTGAGGGAGAGCAGGAAGGTCGATTGGCCTTTCAGGGTGATTTCCCCATGGGCCGCCTCTGGCAATATTGAGAGGCCAATCTCCCAGGAGTCATCCTTGCGTCTGACTGGTAAGAAAATGAGGCCTTTTTCTAATGGAGGCGTTGTCCCGCCCTTGTCTAAGAGGTGGCGGATTTTCAGGCGTTTGCTGGTGAAGTCCAGATCAGGGGGTGGTGAGGCCGCTGAGGTGTACATTTTCTCTGATTTATGCGGTGTGGCCACTTCCGGTTGCCATGCAGCCAGTGCCAGGCACAATCCTTCTTCTTCGCTGTCTGAACCCTTCCTTGCTGCACCATCCTCCCCCTTTCGCTGTGCGCCATCTTCTTCCCCATCCTCGTCTTGTCTGTTCCTCAAACCATTGTGTGCTGTGTCCGCCCTTCCCTGGCTCTTCCCCCCATTTCCTTGGTTAGACTCCTCCTCTTGTCTGTTCTTCAATCCACTGTTTGCTGTGTCTGCCATTCCCTGGCTCTTCCCCCCCTTCCCTTGGATATGCCCGGCTATATTCTCCCTTCCTTCCTTCTCTCCCTGTCCGTCTCCTGCCTCCTTTTCCGGGGAGGTGTCTTTCTGGGCCCTTTCACCCATCTCTCTTCCGTTGGGTTTCGAGGACATCTCCCCCCCCTTTTTTTGGCCTTCGCTCGCCCTGCCCACCTGCTCAGTTCCCCTTGTTTCTTTTGCTGTATTCCCCTCATTTTCTGATTTCCGGGGGTTTTCCCCACCCCCCTGGTTCTTAATCTCATCTATGGGGAGAGAGGTGGCCGGGTTATTTTTTGGGGTGCTTCCTCCTCCCCCCAGACCCTCCGTACTTTCTGGCTGGGGGCTGGTCCGGTCATCCCCTTGTCTGTCGCCGGTGTCATGGGGTTGGAAGCGATCTAGAACTATAGTGAGCAATTTTTGGCATATGTCAGGCCAGTTAACCCCTTCCGGCAGGCCGTTCAACAGGGCCAGCTGGAGACTGTCACTGCTTTCAAGAAGGGGAATGAGGGACAGGTACGTGGTGTCCCGAAATTCATCGTCTTTGCTCTGAAATTTTAACTGGAGATTGTCCATCAGCCAATCAGCTAGCTCCTTCAGGCTGTCCCCCTGACTGTTGGCTGGCGTGCCCCTTTCACTGTCATCCTGTTGCCCCTGGATGTCTGTCGCGTCTTCCATCACTACCTCGGGGGGAATTGGCGGCGGGGGGGCACCCGGGATCACCTCCACTTCCATCGGGTCTGAGCCGAAGGCTTTCTCGAGGGGGTCTTTATCGGAGGTGACCTTTTTCTGCTGGGGGCCTTGTAAATCCTGGTCTGGAATCTGAAGATAAAACTCTCGACTGAAGTCCAAGGAATTTTGCCCCAGTAATCCGCTTGAACGTTTAAATACATTCTACTCATATTTCAATTCACAAGTATTACATAAATCCTAAGTCTCCAATTAAGTGGGGCTTATTAGAGAATCCTCTTCCTATCCAACGTATATATAGCTTGGCTAGCCTACCTCTTTCTCTGGTGTCGATTGAGGCGCGTTAGCGGAATTTCCCAGTTTCGAAATCGGATATTATATTATGAAAGCTTTAGACGCAAGATATACTCCGTGAGGTGGTTACATGGACGTAGATGATACATTCAGGACCGCTCTCTTTCCATGTCCCTTGGGATGCTAACCGCCAAACCTCAAATTGACGGCCCAGTGGCCTCTCCATCAGTCCCTAAGTGTGGTCAGTACTCATAACGTTGCTCTGGGTCCTCCGTCCGCCGATCCTGCCGTGACTGTCGGGATCTGTCATTGATGGTTTCTTCCCGTTCTGGCTCTTTCCTTTTCAAGATCTGCCATTTCCACCCCCTCCCCCCCCTTGCTGCATCTGCTGTCGGTCCCCACCGGGTTGGTAGTCCTCTGTAGCCGGGCCTTTTACCAACTGTTGCTGTTTTTTCTGTGTATTACTTGGCTGTGGTTGTGGATGTTGATTCGTAGGACTTTTAATTTTCAGGGGGGGTGCAGTTCGATCCTGGGGCTTCGATATGTGCCCGGGTGCCCATTCATTTGGCGGCTTAGTAGCCCAACATTGATCCCCCCTTCCTTCCCAAGTCCATCCCTTTGTCTGCCCCTTCGAGTCTAGCTCGTCGAGGTACACCCAGCCCTCGTGCCCTGTATCCACAGTATGCCATCTATTTGACCTGTGGAGATCGTGCTGGAGCTTCCCCGCAGTCGGCCGTCTGTTAAAGCACCAGGGACGGAACTTGTGCGCAGTGTGGATTTGGTGAAGTTTCCCCCCTATTCGGAAGGGGATGATGTCGTCGATGGAGAAGGGTTGATCTTTCGGCAGGTCAAGGGCAAGCATGACATAGTCGTCTCTTTTTGCAACATGTGCTGGCAACGGGTCGATGAAGTCTACAATTGTGTATTGCTGCGCCAGGTCGTGTATGAAAGTGGCCTGCACCTCCACCAGGATGTGCCGCAGTTCTACCCAGAAGTAGTCCATCATTTGTTCTCGTTTTTCCTCCGGGGAAAGTTTTTCCGGTTGCCATGGAAATATACGTACCTCGGATCTTTCCCATCTGACACTTCTCCATCCGTCGATCCGTTGTTTGTTCTGTGTGAATAGACTCAGGACCGTGAAAACTGTCGACGACAAGGGCTGTATAAGGAAAAATTTGCGAACAGCATCAGGGTTTCCTTTCAATTCTTCTAGCTTTTTGTATATCCACTTTATTTTGTCGTTTACCGATTTCTGTGCCACGTCGCCCTGGAAGACCCAGTTGCTCGCATGCTTTATGTATGCGTTGTCCCTGTCCTCAAGTTTTTCCGCCGGTTAAGTTCTCATCATCGTCTTCCTTCCTCCCTGATCCACCACTTGGCTTTCCGAGGGGAGGAGGAAAAGGGTAAGAAAATAAGATTTCGCGGCGGAGAGACTTTTCAATGCAACCCTCAGATCCTCTGTTTCCTCTGGCTGCGAACCGGGCACGGGTCGTTTTATGTTCAGAGTTTTTTCCTGCATCGTTTCCCTGACCCGCTGTGCCCATGAGGGTGTTTCCTCACCCTTTGCCGTTGTCTCTTTTTTCTCCCCTTTCGCAGCCGTTGTTGTTTTTTTTCTTCTCCTTTTTTCTGCCTTTTCTTCCTCAGTCAGAATCTCCTTCTCGTCAGTTTCCCCCATTTCCGTGTCTTCCTTTTTTGTGTCCCCCATCTCTATATCGTCCTTCTCGCTTCTCCCACCGCGCTCGGTTCCTTCGACCTTGTCTTGCCTCTTTGACCCTTCATACCCTCCCTTTTCCATTCCCTGGTGCTGTGATGAGGAGGATGCCGCCAATGCGGTCTTTGTTAGCATCCCTGGGTCCAGCCAGGCTGTCTTCTCCTTAGAAGAGGTTGGGTTGGTAGGTGCGGGCGATGGGGTGGAGCGCGGGCGTTTGTACGGGGAGTTGGGTGCCCGTGTGCCCCAAGTAGGTCTCATGGCCCCTTGGAAGAAGAGCATACTCTCGTCCTTCCCAGACTTTTGTCCATCGGTCAAACTATGAAGGCCTGTTGACTGAGGCCCACCAAACTGTTCTGTTTTCTTTGGGTCCAGCTTGTGAAGACCTGTTGACCGTAGCTCACCAAGGGTATTTTAGTTTACCGCTGATTCGTTATTCCTTGTGTTTCCAGATTACTGAGTTTCTGTTTTTGAGATTTTTCGATTAGTATCTCGATTGGTGTCAGGACAGTCTGTTTGGCTGGCTCGGTGGGCGGGGAGGGAAGCCCTGGGCGGGGGGGGAAGCCCGGTTGTGGGAGATGGGAAGATACTTGGGCCGCACCTGATCGTTGATCGGTCCTTATAGACCCTGTGTCCAGAGTACCTTTAGATGAGCCTCCTTTCTTTCTCAGCTACACCTTCCCCTCCACGTGTCGTGTCTCGCCTGCCTCGTTATCGGTTTTTGTCCTCTGTTGTACCTTCACTAACTTTGTGGTTTCTCCTGCTCCGTCCCCTCCACGTGTCACACCTCGCCTGCCTCCAATCTGTCCCGTGGTATCTTCATGTGTCGTGCCCATCCCCTCCACGTGTCACAGCTCCCCTGTCTCCAATCTGTCCTGTGGTACCTTCCTGTGTCGTGGCCGTCTCATATCATCCGGCCCTGTGTACTCCGGTGCCCTCGAGAGTTTCCTTCTCTCCTCACCCCGATACGCCTCAGACAGCCACGTGTCAAACACGTGGTGGCTATGCTGTCCGTCGTGGTGATTCCGCTCCGTCCCCTCCACGTATCGCACCGTAGTCGCCTCGCCTTTCTCCAATCTTTCTTGTGTCGTGGTCGTCCCGTGTCACCTCGCCCCGTGCACTTCGGTGCCCTCAAAGGCTTTCTCCACTCCGAACCCACCGATACGCCTCAGAATACCACGTGTCAGGACCGTGGGGGCTATGGAGTCTGACGTGGAACCTCTTGTCCAGAGGTCGGGCCGCGTTTGAGCGTCAGCCCGTGACGCCCTGCAGTCCAGCGCCGATGGTTTACCGCGCGTACACGAAGCGCAACCGAGTTACTTTAATATTCCGAAATTTTATTTTTTTCTCGGACAATCTCTCCTTGCAATTTAGTTTTAGGATTCTATATCCCAAGATGGCAAAATCGAGATTTGCTGTGCATACTCTCATCTGAATTCTTCCGAATTTTATTTTTTCTAAATTCGGAATTACCTGAACTTGCAAATTTTTTTTTGCAGTTCAATTATATTTTTCGTTTCTCTCATCATCGTGCAAGGAACGAGCCCTCACAGGGGCCTTCTCGGGCAAACACATGTTCTGGGCAGAGGCCTTCAGCAAGCCGAGTGCCCGCCCTAAGTGAAGCCGGGCCTGAATGTTCATCAGAGGCCAAAATTCGTGTGTACGGATCCGGGCCGCCCGGCCGACCAGCGCCTGCCCAGGGGAGGTCCCAAGCGGCCTGGCCAGGCGGGCGGCCCAGTTGGGGGCCGGGCCCCCCCAGCACACCTTGCTGGCGGGGGGTTTTCGACCACGAATCGGCCAGATTATGTCTCCCCAGGGCCTTCCGGGTCCGACCACGCCCAGAAAACGGCGCGTCGGGCCCGTGAGGCCTGTTTTTTTTTTCAAATTTGTGACGGCCCTTCGGCCGTCGATCATCCATGATCGACGGCTAGAGGGCCGTTTGTTTTTTGGAGGGAAAACCCAGGCCCCGTTTGAACAACGACTGGCTTGGGCGGCCTGCATTGGCTGTCGAAACGGGGCCTCCCTCCAGCTGCCTGCGTTCGTCCTCGACTCGCCCTCGCTCCTCGCGCTGCCCGTTGTCGCCATCGCCTGGGAGCTGCGCTCGCCCGTC